GCCTGTGAGAAAAAATTGGAAAATTTCTATCGAGAAATGAAACAGGCATTGGTCTAAAAGTCAATGCCCCCCCCCGTTATGGAAGATTTTGGTGAGCAGGTTGGATGAGGAAAGGCCAGTGGAGCAGGTACGACAATGTAGTGAGAAAGAGCAAGGAGATCAACTGGCGACCATAAGAGAATCGGAACATCTCCATATTGGCAACACGTGGTTCAAGATAAACAGCAAAAGGAATTGGACATGGATCGAGCCAAAGGTGGAGACAAAGAGCGACATCAACTTCGTCCTCTTCGATGAGCTCCAAATCATTCGAGATATAGAAGTATCGTCACCATTTAACATCTGCAGTGACTACAGATTGCTGCTAGAGAGACTAACCTTTGAAAAGATGATTGAGAGGAAGCACCGCAGATGGCAAATCATAGAAAGCGACTGATGGTATTTGACGAAGCTTTGCTCTAAGTACGTTTCCAACCAAAACTGAAATCTGAAAGTCCGTTACGACAACATATACGAAAAATTAGGCCAGAAACTGAGGTACCGAGTAAAGTCAGCCGAAGAGGTGTCGTTGGAAAGAGCGAAAGGAAAGATCGCGGTAGAGACCAAGAGTTTTCTACAGAAATGCAGGACGGAGCGAGTTAGGAATGACGCAGTGGAGTACTTTCTTCTCTGCATATTCATTAGAAGAAAGCTGAAGAAAATTCCAAAACCTTCTGACTGTAAAAATAGAGAAAATAGCCAACGACTCCAGAAGTCTCAGACAATGAAGGAGAGAGTTACAGCTTTATTTCTTCGACTATCCTGGCGCTTAATAAATGGGATAGCACAATGTCTGGCTGACCTGATACATAGTCTAACTACAAGAACATTTACTACCCTGTCCATTTTCATCAAAAGCGCACGTTCCCGACCATGACTCCAACGGCCAATAGGAAACGCGCTCCCGGTCTTCATGAGGGAATTTTGGCATGCCGCGCAACAAAAACTGAAGGAAAAGTCTCGAGCAGAGATATTCTGACAAATGAACTTATCCGATCAAGTGATCAGAAGCTATGAGGTGCTCAAGCTAAACGGTTCAGTTTTTGCCTGGGAATGAAAGAGATACGATCAGGCTGAAAAGAGCCAAAACAATTAAGTTGTCAAAACAGGTTGAAAAGGAAGATCTGAAGAATTATCGTCAAATCTGCCTGCTCTCACAACAATCATCACCAACAGACTATCAACATGCCTGGACAAACAGCAACCAATCGAACAATCAGGACTCAGTATGAACTACAACAAAGCATGTTATCTTATCGTAAGTCAACTCCTCGAACCTGCAAGTGAATTCCAGCTCCCTCGGTGCATAGCCTTCATCGACTGCGATAAAGAGTTCAACACTGTCTAGCATAAAGTAGTGTGGACTGCACTGACAGAACAAGTCATTGACACTCGTTTCGACAACTTTCAAAAAGAAGCAAAATTTTTCTGCTTCACAAGCAGACACGCTGTCCGACACCCTGTCTGGATTTCTTCAGAGAAGGGCCTTAAACAGCGGGATACCATCTCTCATGAATTTTCATTGCCTGCTTGGAAACGGTGCTCTGGAGGATGAGGATGGGATTAACATCAAATGTTCATTGACAGCTCATCCACCTAAGGTTCACTAATGACGTGCTCTTGTTTGCGGTAAACGCCAATCAGTTGCATGGCATGCTGCAGGTCCAGAGAAACATTACCGAAGTCGGACTGCAAGTCAGACAGTTAAAAAAACGATTTATCCCGGAGGCCCAGACTAAACCGCGAAAAGATCGCCCCAAAGATAAATATTTTTGCCTTGGCTATGATCAGCATGAGGCATGATGAGTCTCAAGAGGTACTACGAAGAAAAAGGGCCTGTTGGTGTGGATTCCATTCCATCAAAGACGTCCCCTCGGCAACTCCATGAAACAAGCCTTTTAATCATGCTATCCTGCCAGCGATGTTTTATTACTCCGAGATGTAGTCACTCATGCAAGTTGAATATCGCCGGATATCTGTCACCGAGAAAGCCCTGGAAAGAAGAAGGATTTTTTAATCTCACGTCGCGACCACATCCTCAAGATGATCGAACAGATGAGTAGAGTGAAAATTTTTGTCGTCTCAAGCAGAAAGGATAAACTAGCGTGATC